CAAGCTGTGGAGATGTGGGGTGAGGGACACGGGGCAGTGGGGACCTGGCAGTGCTGGGGGGTGGTTGGACTGGATGAAAAAGTTTGGAAAGGAGCCAAAACAATTCTGTGATTCTATTAAATATTGAAGAGGGAAATTGCCCAGAAAGCCAGTTCTGAGGAGTCTGAGCTGTTGGTCTGTTGAGGAGCAGGGCTCCTGTCACAGCAGCTCGGCTGGCAGCGGGCCTGAGGAAATCCTCCTAGGGACACGTTCCTCTCTCCTCTCAGCTCTAGAAGTGGGGGGTGAACTCGAGCTCCCCACGAGTCCAGACTCTGCTTACAGCCCCCCACAGCCCCCCAGGGGCCACTGGCAGAACCCAGCAGCTGCTGCAGCCTCAGGTCCCCTCGGAGCTTGGTCAGAAGCGAGGGTTCTGCAGGCGCCGCCTTTGGGGCTGCTCAGCTCTCAGGGAAAGCCCCATTTCTGAGCAGCTTGGAGGGGATGGGGAATAGTTAACTCAGAGGGGATGGAGAAGAGTTAACTCAGAGGGGATGGAGAAGAGTTAACTCAGAGGGGATGGGGAATAGTTAACACCTTGTGCTAGCCCAGGGGTGTTCTGGGTGCCAGGAGTATCTGGGCAGGGTGGAGCCTGCTCTGTCATGGTGAGGTCGAGCCCGTGCTTGCTCGCCAGCCATCCAACTGCTGCCCCAGCAGGCTGAGCAGAGCTTCACGCTTCACCTCTTCTTACAGACCTTCCACGAGGGGAAAAGAGAAAACGAAACGTAGAGGACGAAGGCGAGGAAGATGCAGAAGAGGAAGAGGAAGATGAGGATGACTGATGCGAGCGAGCCGATCCGTCTTACGGACTCTGACTGTGCTTGTCTTAACCTCCCCGTTGTGTCTATGTGAGACTGTAAATCCCCCACCTCCCACTCCTCCCCCCTTTGTATGGCTGCAGCGTCCACAATATATTTTTTTAAGATGTAGAATACTGTAGGCATTCAGGGGAATCTTCCATACAAGGCTCACTTTTTTTCTCACAAGTTTTCTCATGACCAAAGGCTTTCTCCGTTCTGTGGTTTGTGCAGCAGTTTGCAAAACAAAACAAAAAAAATACAAAACAAAAACAACCCCAAAAAAAGAAAAAAAAAAGAAAAAAAGAGGAAAAAAAAAAAAAAGAGAAAAAAAATCATTTCCTCCTTAGGGTATCTTTGGTGTCTGAACTCAGCCTTGCCACACTGGACCCAGAGCTCCAGCTCGCCACGTCCTGGCTGCCCGCCTGCCCTCAGCCCAGCTCTCTGAAGACACTTTGAGCCCTTCTTGAGCAGGGGGTGCAAATCTGGTTCATCTTAAACGGACTCCAAGCGACAGCAGATCGCTCCCTGAGGTCTCTGAGGTGATCTCTGGAGATGCTGGAAGATACTTTAGCGCTGGGGATGTGGGTGCCTGGGGGTC